CCGTCCATTCTGATACACGAAACGTTCCGCTGGATGACTATCGTAGATGAGCATAAATATGAGGTCGTAGACGTGCAACGCACCAGAAAGCGTACACAACCTAAATGGTCATAGATGACGCATCAGATGATCTTTTTTTTCGTAGCAGATGAGCTGCGATGTTGAAGGTATGCAATTGACGGATCGGTCGAACAACTGGTGTAATTAGAGCAGCGTGAAGTTTGATTAGCTTTCATGTTACTGGGAATGATGTCATAGTCGATACTCATTAACCGAAAACTTTTAAGTGGTAAAAAGGTAACTCATCACAGTGGGGCAACTTGAGAGCATCATTGTCTGTGGAAGCAGTGAGATGGTATGGAACTTCGTGGAGCCGGAACCCACTGGACTAGAGTGACGGTCGCTTCGATTGTGTGAGGTGACTGAAGTCACCTCACACAATCGAAGCGACCGTCCCAAACCGATCCTTCGCCATATATGCATGTTAATGCATTTGTTAGCCAGCGATTAAAAATTTTCCACCAGAGAGGTTAGAAGGGCGACGGAAGAATTAGGAGAGAAGTCTCGTCAGAGCCATAATATTGGGCCTCTTCACTCAGGTGGCGAGTGATCTTACAACCACTGCAACCACATTTTTACCTTATGCACATCGTAGTAGAAACAAACAGAATTTCAACAAAATTTGATTCTGTTGTCCTCGCCCAGAAGAAGTATACTGCCACGATAAAGTTGGATTCATAGATCGTATCATCTCCGCGGAAGTGATTGAAACACCGTCCTATTGTCGGATTACTAGTATTGTCTGGAACGAGTACAGCTGGTAATCTCTACAACCGCACTTAATCTGGTTTTCAGCTTATTTTCGCGAAGGTCAGTCGAGTGTAACAGACGTTGGTCTTTTTGAGTCTGATGCACTTATTATTGAGGCCAACGAAGCAGATATTTCGAGCCACACTAACGATAAGGTCTTTGGGCTTTCATCAATCTCGTCTTAGGGAACTTCCATTCCAAATCGTATTGGCTTACTGGATGCGGATCTGACCTACACAATGACTTGCGGTAGCCAGCCGATGAACAGTCGAAGCTTTCGTCCTCCCAAATGAGTCTACCAATTGACCGACCGCGGAGGGATGAAATGCTTGTTTGATCTAAGCGGATCTCGATCTGGAATTTGAAGCTGTGGTCATGCGCGTGTGGTAGTGTGCCACCTGCCACTGCACCACCTGCAAACTCTTCTATTATTTCACTTGGAGTAGATACCACAAAATTATCGTAAACTGTTTATTTAAAAGAAATCCTTTGAAATGTAGTACTCGCAACAGTACGCTATAAAAATGAAAAGTGTTCATTGTACATAGTGACGGTCTTTAGAGGCACAACTCATGATAATTTTCACGTGCCTAGCTTAAGTGAATCTATGGAAATTATATTGAATGATCCGAAAATAGCAAAAAGACGAAAATCGGCATATTCAGGTCAAAAAAGTAGTAAAAGGAAATCGTACGCGATTATGTGTCTGTGATCATCTAGATGTATCCCACATAAGCGTAGTATTCGCGAAGTCAGCTTCCTAACCCTTCGTCGTGAACAGGCTAGTCTCATAAGGCCGTCATAGTGCGATCAATTTTTTGTGTGTATGATGGTAAGTTATGGTGGGATCCTGGCTGAAATTCAGTATCAGCTCTTGATGTCTTGATTGTATAGCAGCACTTAGTGATCAAGGGCCGCACGACCTATACTTCGTTACCTCTATGAATTTGGTCTTGCTGCAGCCTTGGGTAGAAGCCNTGCGCATTTAGGAGAAGGAATTCTTCGGAGTCGATCATCAGTTTTTATGCGCCCCAGCATTTTACTTCCATTCAAAATCGTAGTTGCTGTTTGAGTAGTCATGTAACCCACAAAACGACTTGAGTTGGTCATCCGATGTACAAGTCAGTGCTTTTACCCTCCCAGCCGAGTCTGGTACTGATTGACCAACCCCATAGGTATGGAAATCTTGGTTGTTCTGTGCGACTATCGATGCGAATGTCGAACCTCAGATCACGGAGCGGTGATGCACCACTTGCCACCACATCACCTCCACCCATAGCAATAAACGCCTTGAACCTGTGTAGGCAGAACACTATGTTAAATTTACATTTGATCTTATGGTTGTGTGCGCAATGTGTTTCTTGCTGGAGTTAAGCAAAAACAGTACGAAATCCTGATTTGTACCTCTACCTAAGACAACACTTTTTTGCCACCCTTTACAATAATTATCAGCAGTGTAATTATTTGAGTTGTGAAGATTGTCAATCACCGTGTCAAGGAAAATTATAGGTCAACTTATGTGCAACGTGTAAGCTGTACGATGTTTAAATTAGTTATTTCACTTGCTTATTCGATTCGCTTGATTGCAGAAGGATTGCCTGATTGTGATCATCCATGTTGCATGAAACGTTGTCCTCGACCTTGTTGTCAGGATAGAGAAAAAGGAGAAAATATCCCACTCGCTAGAACAGGTTTCCAATTAGTTTTTGATCTCTGAAAGCGGAAGAGAAGTAGAATAATTTCGCAAAAGAGTGTCGAGATAGGCTGGACAGGTGGTCAGCAATGAAGTCGGTTTCATTCTATTCCGTTTCTATTTCTTCACAAGAAAAGTTGTAAAAAGCTCTGTCATTTCAACAAACGCTAATGAGCTCTTTTGAAGGACCGAATCGCGAATCAATTCAAGACATGAGGCAAGACAAAAGAGGACCCACGCCAGGTGATTTTTGGATTGCAGAGGAGTGTTGACCTTTGGCTATCTCGGACCCATTTCTCTCCATCATCTTGCTGCGAATCGATTACAAAGAGGCGAACGGAACTGTGAATCTTTCACTACAAAGTTTTCGAGGGGGAGGTTTGAGATCTCGCATTTTATAATGTGCAAGTATCAACATAATTTGGTCGCTTTCATTCAACTGACCTCCTTAGTTCCACCGGAGCTGCTGGATGTTAATTGATTACAGAAAATACTCGAAAAGAGATCTAAACCACATCAGCGATATACCGTTTAATTCACACCATGATCTAGGACTTTGGTATCTCATAGGCGTAGACTTACTCACATAACGTATGCTAGCGTGGTTTTGCACAAATTATAATCGAGAGCATCCAGCAAATGCGGGTGCACATAAGGGAACTTGGGGAAGAAGCTATCACTAGGTAGGAAAAATTTTATGACATCAGCCAAATAATCGAGGGTACTGCTGACAGGGGCATGTTAGCAGTAAGGTACCGCCTCTCCCATCTGGACAACATGAATGCAAAAGTACGGAAAAGGTAGACTAACTTGATGACCAGCCTCATTTGTGGATCAGGAGATCGAATTTAAACCCTCGTCAAATATGAGGATGGTGAGGTGCGAACGAAAAGATTTAAGACCACTGCCTCTCTAATGTTTCTCGTACTTCAGCAGCTTATTTATCGACGCGATCCATCGCGTCGTAACAAATTTTTACTGAAATTAAGACAATTTAACTTCTGGCTAACTTGGTCATAGTGCATGGAGGTTTTGCGTAACGTGCTTATGACGAAAACGCTTTATCAAGACTTATACTTTTCGTTGCAGAGCGCATCAGCGATAGAAACGAAAATCCAGATCAAGAAACCCGACCGCCGAAAACAGCTAGATCATCCAGCATAAAGCCTATACCTGTGATACGAAGGAGAAGATCATCCAGTGCACGACCTACACCCCAGGAGCAAGGGAGACCGTCCGGTGAGGAACAAAAACAACAGGAACAAGGACCTCAGGAACCAGGAGGACAGCCCAGCGCAGATCGACAAGGCAGCCGAAGAAAGAGATCGAGCGGCTTTCTGCCACGAAAGCGATCATCGAGTGACCCTCCCCAGGAGCAAGGGACATTGTCTGCTACCCAGGAAGATGCAGACAAACCTGGCGAGGAACAAAAACCCCAAGAACAAGGACCGCCAAACCAGGTACAGGAACCGGAGATGCCAAGCAATGAACAACAAGAAGGAAGACGATCACCCGTTTTCAAGCCACAAAGGAGATCATCCAGTAAACCAACACGTCAGGAACAGGGACCGCAGCCTAATCAGGAACAAGGACCTCAGGAACCAAGTGGACCGCCTAGCTCGGAACCGCAAGGCAGTCGAAGAAAGAGATCGAGTGGTTTCTTGCCACGAAGGAGATCACCTAGTGCACAATCCACGCCCCAGGAACAAGGGGGACCGTCCAATGATGAAGAGAGATCAGTGGAACCGGGCAATCTACCCAGCGAAGAGCAGAGGTCACAGGAGCCAGGGAAACCAGGCGATGAACAAAAACCTGGTGGACGAAAGTTGTTACCAGGCTTCATGTCACGAAGGAGGTCATCCAGCGCACAACCTACACCCCAGGAACAAGCTGGACCGTCTAATGAGGGACAAGGACCCCAGGAGCCAGAGAAACCTCTCAGGGAAGAACAAGGACCTCAGGAACCAGGGAGACCTCCAAATGAGGGACAAAAGTCAGAGGAATCAGGAAAACCAGGCGAAGAACAGCAGAAACACGGCGGACGAAAGTTGTTACCTAGCTTCTTGCCTAGGAAGCGATCACCTAGTAAGCGACAAACGTCACAGCAACAAGGGAAGCCGTCTGATGAAGAAGAAAGAGCCGTGGAGCCAGGGAGACCTCACAGTGAGGAACAAGGGCCTCAGGAACAAAGTAAACCTCCCAGTGAGGGACAAGGCCCCCAGGAACCAGGGAAACCTCCCAGTGAGGAGCAAGGTCCAGAGGGAACAGGGCGACCGTCAGGTGAGGAACCACAACGCGGCCGACGCAAGTTATTACCTGGCGTCATGCGACGAAAGAGATCAACCAGCGCACAGCCTACACCGCAGGAACAAGTTGGACCGTCTAGTGAGGGACAAGGTCCCCAGGAACCAGGGAAACCTCCCAGTGAGGAGCAAGGTCCAGAGGGAACAGGGCAACCGTCAGGTGAGGAACCACAACGCGGCCGACGCAAGCTGTTACCTGGCGTCATGCGACGAAAGAGATCAACCAGCGCACAGCCTACACCACAGGAACAAGTTGGACCGTCTAGTGAAGGACAAGGACCCCAGGAACCAGGGAAACCTCCCAGTGAGGAGCAAGGTCCAGATGGAACAGGGCAACCGTCAGGTGAGGAGCAACAACGCGGCCGACGCAAGCTGTTACCTGGCGTCATGCGACGAAAGAGATCAACCAGCGCACAGCCTACACCGCAGGAACAAGTTGGACCGTCCAGTGAGGGACAAGGACCCCAGGAACCAGGGAAACCTCCCAGTGAGGAGCAAGGTCCAGAGGGAACAGGGCAACCGTCAGGTGAGGAACCACAACGCGGCCGACGCAAGCTGTTACCTGGCGTCATGCGACGTAAGAGATCAACCAGCGCACAGCCTACACCACAGGAACAAGTTGGACCGTCTAGTGAAGGACAAGGACCCCAGGAACCAGGGAAAGCTCCCAGTGAGGAGCAAGGTCCAGAGGGAACAGGGCAACCGTCAGGTGAGGAGCAACAACGCGGCCGACGCAAGTTATTACCTGGCGTCATGCGACGAAAGAGATCAACCAGCGCACAGCCTACACCGCAGGAACAAGTTGGACCGTCTAGTGAGGGACAAGGTCCCCAGGAACCAGGGAAACCTCCCAGTGAGGAGCAAGGACCAGAGGGATCAGGGCAACCAGGCGAGGAACAAAAACATGGGAGACGAAAACTGTTATCTGGCTTCGTGCCACGGAAGAGATCATCCAGTAAACGGCAAACATCGCAACCACAAGAGAAACCGTCTGACGATGAAGAAAGAGCCGTGGAGCCAGGGAGACCTCCCAGTGAGGAACAAGGACCTCAAGAACCAGGAAAACAACCCAGTGAGGAGCAAGGACCAGAGGGATCAGGGCAACCATCAGGTGAGGAGCAACAACGCGGCCGACGAAAGCTGTTACCTGGCTTCATGCCTCGTAGGAAATCATCCAGTAAACGGCAAGCAGGGAGATCAACTAGCGGAGAGCCAACACCCATGGAACCAGAGAGACATTCTGCTGAGAAAGAAGGACCGCAGGAAGCAAGAAAGCCAACTAGCACCGAGCAAACACCAGAAAGGCAACAGAAGAGAGGTTCACGTCGAAGGAGATCGTCTGGATTTTTGCCGAAACCACTGCGGAGAAGGTCATCAAGCGCACAACGCCCACCAAGCACAGGTAGAATCGCTTCTATTTAAAGGCACAGTTTGCGATGAAAATGGCTTCTTAGGTTTCTTCATCAGATGAGTTCGAGGTCCACTCTTATATCATTATCTAGCGCTATAAGGTCGAAAAACGGCTCAGGGCTGTATAAGGGCTGTATTATGCATAACCTCGAACGGATTTCATCGAAATTGCAGTGGCTGCACTATTCACAATTGAACCCGTGTAGATGGCTCAACTTGTCATGACCCATAGCGAAAGGCAGTTCTGTACAGTTCTGGCTTGATGTAGTCGGCTACTTTCCCAATTGCAGCAACCGAAATCTTGTCTGAACACCCCTTCCATGTTATTTCGTCTTGGTAATCCCATTCGGTCTCTATTTCCCCTACTTTTAGGAAGCCTCATTTTTCTCGAAATTGGCGAAATTTTCCGCGTTTTTCACTACGATAAATTATTCCCAACTTATACTTCCGCTTTTGACTGAAAAAGGGTTACCTCAAGGTTATCGTGAACTGTGCCTTCAACGCACACATATTTTTTTAATGTCGTATTTGGGATTATATGTATTCGTCATAGTTCATACTGAAAACAGCATGCTAGTAGAGGCGCCAATGCCTCCAAGTAGTGACATGGCTATATAAAAGTCAATGATGGATTTTACAGATCGTTCCGGATCCACTGCTACCCGCGCATCGACGTCAAGAATCAGTAAGTCATTTTACAGAAATGATTCAAGGGTTCCGAGATGATATGTCGGATACTTCTCGTCGAAACTGATATCGGTATAGAGGGACGCAATCTCTTAATTGACTGGTGGACTATAGAACTAAGGGGTAAAGCAAATTTCAACGTACCTAATTATGATAACTATCAGCAGCCGGTATAACTACTGTTTTCAAAATGGTACTTTTAATATACTACTAACTAATAACTACCTTTTAGCACTGACGGTACTTAACTTTTTTAAATAGTGCTCGATTTTTCATGGTAAGGTTTATTTTTATGGTTCTTTTTTTGCCGTCTCTTGTCTAGATCTGTTACGTATTCTGTCGCATACTCATACGTATGCATAATTTACTAATGTTTCAAGGTTGCGAGGTTTATAAGACAGTGGGACGAACGTAGTAGAGCTTGTCTGACTTATAACTATCTCAGATGGACTAAGCTTTTTCATTCGCTATTCACTTTCCCATCATACTCAACACATTGAAGTCGTTGTCATTACGAAAAGTATTATACATTGACGGTTACAAATTTGTACGTTTTCCAATCCATTTTAAACCATCATCAAACGTCATTACGTTCTGCCACCAACCATTTATTACACAACCCAGTCTTTCCACGCGAAAGATATTCGTGTGCTTCTAATTTCACGGTAAAGCGAAGGTCGTAGACAGAGGACTCAATGGGCCTTGCCTTTTTCCTTTCTCTTTCAGAAGTCGTCCATTTACAATCCTGTTACATTTCACATCACTTACTACGAATGAAAATAAATGAATAGTGAATGCGAATGAATCCGGGAGATCGTGCTAACCGTGACCACTAGCAGCCTTCATCGTTTATCATCATGTCCTCTCACTGAGCATTGTTTCATCGCACATCTTATATTCGAGTGCTGCAACTCTTGCGTGTTTCATGACTCAATGCCAAAGAGCTTTTAAGGATGGAACACTCATTCTGCCTGATTTTCGAAATTTTCTTCACTCTCAAAGGCTTGAAAGCATTTCAGTATCTTGCGGTCTACCACCCTTGAGACTAGTAATTTCCTAGTTCGAACTCATATCAACAAATATCATAGTTGGAATTTTTGCATCGGAGTACTGAAGTCAGTTTCATCGGCACCTAGCCAGTGCTTACTCCGGGTTTAATGAAACAAGTGAAACTGTTCGCTCTTACGATAGGCCGTTGTATTGCTTGTCTTACTGCGAGTGCCAAAGCTGACATAGTGGGATATGAGGCAAGAAATTCCTTGTTATATTGATGCATCCATTCCTATACTATTCACGGAGGAGTTTCGAGGAAGTCTCAAGCGTTTTCCTAGCGCCGTTATCACTCTTACCAGGGAGGGGTAGTCTACTTATCTTGGAACTTTGAATTCAGACCCAGATAGATCGATAGGGTTTTGAGTGCTGTTTACGAAAATGGAAATTAAATCTGCAAAATGGCTCTCCTTAAAAAGTTATGGGGGTCCGAATTTTGCTCGACAGTAGTATCAATTGNCAATTGATACTACTGTCGAGCAAAATTCGGGCCCCATAACTTTTTAAGGAGAATCATTTTGCAGTTTTAATTTCCATTTTCGTAAACAGCATTCAGAACCCTATCGATCTATCTGGGTCTGAATTCAAAGTTCCAAGATAAGTAGACTACCCCTCCCTGGTTAGAGCAACCGTGCATTTGGCGTCACAGTTACCTCCAGCGTGACTTTCCCATGTCAATGAACACTGCAATCGAACTGTTCTGCCGTTTGCTAGTGGACAAACAGTCACTTGTCACCTGTAGTCCCATTCGTAATCGATTTCCTCAAGCGGCGCCAATAACGTCTTCTTTCGTTCCTGTAGTGAACCAGAAAAGGCAGTCGATTGTACCCGCTCGAGGGACACAAGTCAGTCATAGCACTCGTTCCGTTCTGAGCCTTCTCAAAAGCACAGTCCACGATGAAAATATTTTCTGCATTCTCTCCCTGGGAATACCCAGTGGCTCCCAAGGGTTACAGAAGGGCGCTGTCGAGTCGCAAAACTTAATAGCTAGGGCATAGTGGGAGCCTGTACAGGGTCGTCCGGACCTCTCGACCCTCGATCGATGTCACGTCAGACGAGTGTCGAGGCAATACAGATTGCAGTATTNTCTTTTTCTCTTTGACTTTCTGTTATTCTTTTCGCTGCTGCGATCCTTATTCTAATTTTCTACCTGAAGAGGCTGAAAAAGTAAGCCATCGTCCCAGGATCCAAACGTATTCAATGGGACACATTGTATCGCTCATCCGAACGCCCCATTCTTCTTCATTTTTCTGGTCTCACTCATCCTCGTCCAGCTTCCTTTTTAACGATTTTTAGAAGCATTATTTCACATTGGGAACACCGCAGTTCCTTCACCTTCATCGCACTATTTTCCATCTTATCTTCCATTTTACACCATAGTAACCAAAATTATCGTGAACTGTGCCTTCAAACACATCTGACCATCGCGCGAGCGGTCGTCCTTGTGTCCGTTTGGAGTACCGATGGTCAGTAGTCGCCCTGGTCGAACAGTCATCACAATATCGCATAAGGTATCCGGTTCGATTTTTGGTGTAAGCAGCAGAATCCCTTATCTCGTTTGTAGGCGGAACTGCATGTTCATACCGCTTCACAATATCCAAGTTTTCGAAGCGTACAAAAGAGCAAGAAAGGCTGCAACGTCAAGAAATTTAGCGTGTTAGGTTGACTACCTCCCGTAAAGGCCCAGTTCACGATTATTCTGGGTAATCCAGAATATGACGAAAAATAGAAGATAAGGTGGAAAATAGTATAAATAGACGAAGAAAGTGTGCGATCCGGCGTTTCCAAAGTGATAGAAGGCTTTTAAAAATCGTTAAAAAGGGGGCTGGACGAGAAGAAAACCAGAAAAATGAAGTAGATTGCGTGTTTGGACGAGCTATACAACATGTGACATTGCGCATGTGTGGGTTCTGGTGCGAACGGGTGACGACAGTAAGCAAAAATGTACCTCAAATTCATTCACTCAGAAGTATAAGTCAACGAAAAAGCTAGTAACGGCAAGAGTAGTCCACCCATTTCAGCCTCTCGGGGTAGAAAATTAAGGGCACGGTTAACGATAATTTTGAGGTACCCCTTTTTAGCCGAGAAGCAGAATTATAGGTTAGGAATAGTTCATTGGTAGTGAAGAAAGCGTGAATATTCGTCAATTTTAAGAAAAACCAGTTGGGCCGCCCGGTTTACGCCGGGCCCTCATTCCTCACATTTATTAATCAGTTAGAAATGCCCCCCCCCCCCCTTAAGTGAAGAACTGTAGAGGAATGTAGGATAGAGCTGGGTTTTCCATATCACTCTCTTATCGTAATCATAAACTTTTGCGGACGGACACTCCGACATACCGACATACCGACATACCGACAAACACACAAACCGACAAACCGACACACCAAGTTTCTGCTTTATAAATGAGAGAGATAAGGCTCCTCAAAAATAGGGAGAATAAAGGTTGGACGAGATTATCATGACATAAATGACATGGAAGGGGTCCTCGGACGGGATTTCGGTTATTGCAGTTGTGCGAAGAGCTGACTACATCATGTGAGAACTGCACAGAACTGCCTTTCACTGCCGCTATGGGTCATGACAGTTGCTTGTTCCTACATGGGTTTCCTTGTGAGCGGTGCAGCCTCTACAATGTCGGTCCCAGAAACCCTTTTAACAGAATCCCAGAAACCATTTTTATCGTGAAATGTACCTTTAAATAAGGGATCGCAGCAGCAGAAAGAATAACAGAGATTGATAGAATAAGAGGGGACCATCGCCGCAATCAGCTGCGATTGTGTGTGAGACCCGGAGTGAGCATTGCAATCTATATCGCCTCGACACCCGTCTGAAGTAATATTGGTCAAGGGTGGGAAGTTCGGGCGATCCGGTAACGGGGCTGCCACTATGCCCTAACTGTTGAATTTTTGGAGGGGGAGGGGTCCTTCCTGTTACCATTGGCGGCTACTGAGTATTCTGAAGGGAGAACTCAAAAATCCTTTTTATCGTGAACCGTGCCTCCAAAACATGTAGTGAGAGCGTAGTCGGTGTGATCAGAGTGTAATCAGAGGTAAATCATGGATGTGCCATTTTGTTCGGTGAAATACCGATATAATGCAATCAGCACTTCATATTTCAGTGCGGAAATGCCAGTGTCCATTCCATCATGATATGGACCTGCAAGGAACCTCACCACACGCTGCTATCGGTACGTTTATGGGTTTATTGTAACTGGTCCAGTAAAGCAGCTGCTGTAAATTCCTGGAGCTCAGATAAAGAAATTCAGTTCTATTTCATGCACCCTTTTTTGTTACGGAGGGGGGGGGGGACGGAATTTACATGCGTCCGAGGATACGCGCGGCACACTACGCGGTGATGTGGGTGTCGATTTTAACGGCCTTAGCGCTTATCATTGGTTCACAAATTTGAAGTAGAATAGATTAGTAGGATCGGCTAACCTTACCAAACTACTCCAAGTTTGTGCCCCGATAATAGGCGCCAGAGTTGTTCGAATCGCCACGAACTTCGCCGCATAGTGTGCCGCGCGCATCATCGGTGCACGTATGTACGGTTGGTGCGTAAAGCCTTGCTGTAAAGAAAGGTAATAAAAAGACCAATGAGCACAGGAGGTAGGAAGTCAGGGTAACCGTAACAAAAAATAACTAATACGCTGACTTATACGTATAGCGCCTTTCGACTCACACCAATGATAACATCTGGAACATAATGTAACAAACAAGTGGCACAGCCTGAGAAGAGGCAGCGGAAGGCAAGAGCCAATGGATTTCGTCTGGCGGTACCTTATATTTCACACCACTAGAGTGATGCTCGGAGATAAAAGGTGAAGGATAAAGTCTTCAGCATTAGTCCCCTTTATGGAATGCGCTCCTGCATCACACTTCCAATCGGATTTGTGAGGGTGTATCGATTACGATCCATACTGTGATTTGTGGTGGCAATGTAACACTATTATACTTTGTTGAAGTACTGTAAGTCAGTACTTTTATCCTCCAAGAAAATCTGATACCGACTGACCGAAGTCATAGAGATGAAAAGTTTGGTCGGCCTGTTGCTGCTCTCATAGTCCGCTGACCGGTTGGCGAGCGCCTACCGTAAAGAATCTGACCGTAAAATAAAATGCAACAGACGTAGGTTTCTAGCATAAACTAATTCTGTCATAGTCCGCCGGCCGGTCGGAAGGGAAGTGAACTCTGCATAAATCACAGGGTACAACTGAGAATATATTGCGTTATTCCGATAAATCGCAAAAGCTTTTAGTTTCCTTTCTTCTGTCAATCTCATCGAATAGAAATGTTCCAGTATCCTCGTACGTCGATTCGGATTTGAATAATGAAACAAATCTCAATCAAGCCCACAAGTACCCAGGTCAGGTAACAGTTCTCATTCACGCAGATATGCCGGTCTTCAATAGAGAACATCCCCAGTCATGACTTTCACTTCGACACATTAATCATTTAGTAGCCCTCAGTCCCACCTATGATTTCTATTCCAGCCTATCGCCATAGAGGTCATCGCGCGAAGCCTTCGACTAGTGGTACGTGGTAAAGAAAAATTCTGTGTTAGTTCTCGATCTGAAGTTCCCGTTTCAGGCGCTTCAGAAGACGCACGTGCTCCAGTTAAAGAACGTAAAAAGCGAAGCTCTGTTTTCTCTCGACCTCGCAAAGAGAAAGGACGTGGTATGATATTTTTGGACGTTTACATTATCTATAATGCCCCTTACACCACATACTATGTCGAGCTGCTGCTGACTGCTCATCTACTTTGCGTGGGCTTCTACCGATCTTCCAAGATCGCCTAGATACTGGCTGTTGAAAGTGGACTTCGAAGAAACGTTTTTTCTCGCTGGTCCACCCTCACGACAAATTTCACAGCTTTTTGTATACAAGTGCTCACATCCTGCCTCCTGTACTACTACTGAATTTCAGCGCTCCAGGTCTACCTAAACTGGTGGGAATCGCTAACAGCTTCCTTTAACAGGTCGTTTTGTTGTGAATGATCGTGTTGTGTATCGAAAATTAGAATGACCATCTGGGAATAGGCCCCTCTGGAGGTCTCTATCGTCTCTTCTGTTGAAATGACTCGCTTTCCTTTCCTATGGAACATGTCATTGAACAATCATTTTCCACTGCCCTCAGAAAGAATGTGCAGCCATCTCAGACACTGCCGAGGTATAATAAGAGGCAGTCAAGTCGAAAATTATATGTCACGGATCCAGCCTAATTGAAACGTGCATATAGGGAAACGTTTTCGTTCATAAAGCCAATTTAGTAGCTCTTCGAATGTCGCAACTGAGGCGCAAATTCCTCCGACATCGATGTTCTCTCGAAACAGCCCTCCAAGAGCTTAGACAGGATGCTGCCTGCTACTTGCTTGATATGGAAAAAATAACCCTTGAAATTAGAACTTTTACCTATTGAAGAAAAACACGAGGAAAAGTTCCCATTCCACGTGAGCGCTGCCTGCCAAATTAATCGCAATCTTTGAAATGGACGTCACGATGGAAGAGAAGGAGAGGTGTTGCTTCTGTTAGCGTATGTGCAGCTATTGCTTTCTTCGCCATTATGCACTGTCACAATGGAATCCACTTTCTCATGATCAGCATGCACTGTCACGATGGAATCCACTTTCTCATGATCAGCGCAAAAAAAAACGGCAATTCAAAGAATGAAACAGGTTTGCCGCAGTCGCCTCGTTTTCAAGTTTCGGGGAAAAATTTCGCCTTACTCATAAATACTGATCTGCGATGGAAAAGTAGCGGATCAAGACTACCTCTATATACCCTCAAAGCGAACGCTATCTAATGGCCACGACCACGAATGGCTCGCGCATCACTTTCGTATGTTCACACAAAACATGACGATGTGTTCTGTAACATTGCATTATTAAGGTCACAAACGAGGGCGGTCAAAAACAGCTGCAGAACCAGGAGAAGGTGAGTATTCATTATTTTGATCAGGGTACAGGGTACGTAGAGAAATATTTTCTACTTATCAAATACTCAGTGGGCGATAGCATGAAACGAAAACTGTGTTATTCTGAGTGAACGATTCACATTTGTTATGTAGGTGGTATTAGCTGTGCTTTTTCCTTGCATAATAATTTTCAGAAGAGTTTCCCGAAGTTCCACCAGACATGGCTTCACATATTGTCGGTGAGTATGTACAATTTGAAAAAAATTCTATAAACCGTCATTTATAATGACTCACAAACAAATACTGGGTTTCACCTTTTCATATGCGAGCACTAATTGTCACAATGCGAGATCATGAAATTGTTGCAATGATGATCCTTATTGTTAGTCGGCGGCTGCTAAGGTAGGGTACTACAAGACAAATTCATATTTACTCCTCATACAGACGGGGGTCTACGATCGAAGACTTCGGCTCTGGATCGCAGTTTTTGTGTGGGTGGCAAATGTGGTAATCTCTTCCACGGGTAACGGAATATCATGTGAGTGAAATGAATAACTGTGAATACTTATCGCTGTAATAGTGAAGCACGCAGGCCAATGTTATCTAACCTAAATTTTACGGGTTCGGCAACCTTTTTGGAATCATCGGCGAATCCAAAGTGTACATAAGATAGCTCGAGTGTGTTACTCGTTCTCACCTCCATTCGCAGGAAACGGCGATTCCGCGCATTCACTGTGGAACCAGTAATGTTCTTTTATTTCAATTAAAAGGAGTCTTCGCATTTCAACGGATACTTGTCATTTTGAAGACTCTGTTTCATGGAACGAATCCACAGTGTAGTTTTTCACTCTCAAATTCCCCAGTGTTAACAGCAATTTCAGTTTGCCATGGCGAAACTGTCAACGAGATATTCCCACAATGGCTGAGGCTGTCATATAAAGGAGGAAGTTATCAACCTTACGATCTCAATATGCCGGCAGTCATTCCAAAGTAAAAGTTTTTTGAGTGCTACCATCTTGACAATGTGCTCTAGTTTGAGGATGAATTCAGACGACCCATGGAACACTTCCGTTTCGATCCTCCACTTACTGAACATGGCTATCTTACCGCTGAATTTGTGGGCAAAGCATTCAAAATGGCTGGTTACTCTCCTAAGATAGTGAGTGTTGTCTTGGTATATCAGCCTTACTATTTAGGAGACTGAAAGCATTGGCGTCCAAAATGTCGCATTTTTAGATTTACTCTTCACCCGAATTGAGATGTGTGCAGACCTCAGCTGCCATTGCACGTGCATGTGGGAATACTTCACCCATATGCCTGGAACCTGCTCTCGCTGATTGGGTTCAATTGTCGCCACCATCAACTCCTCAACATTGGCTGACACCTGATAGGGTATCAAAAACTCATTTGAAAATATGATAGGGACCTATAGAGTGTGCAATCATTGATCTTACGTGCTGTCCATCACTGCTGTTGTTTCAATTTATGCTTATTTTTAGTACAAGAATCTTGATGTCCCTGTCAATACGGACTACAAACCTCACCTTTCTGAGCTTCCGAAAAAAGAGTCTCCTGACGACTACTGGAAACGATTGGAAGATTTCTTCCGAACCATTTATCGACCAGCTGACAAGTGCGTTTGGCGTTGAGTAAAAAACTCGAATTTCTATAATGGATCAGCTTCGATTGTGTGTGTCTTACTAACGGGATTAGGTGATGTACATACACTCTATCCTCCGTATCCCACCCTCACGATGAATCGAGGCAGGTGGTAGGAAGCTTCCAGTTGATCTGGGTTATGTGCGAAGTCCGCTTGCATATTAAGTTTACTTACCAGTTAGTCTTGAGTGGCATTCAGTCACAATCCCTGTTGTAACTACTACTTTCAGAGTACCGCGTAAAGTTGAATACTTCCATCAAAAATTCATTAAACATGTTAAAGTAGCAGTGCTCATTATATTCATATAAACCGTGCTCAGGGTGATCCTGATTGTGGCCAATCCTAGCGCTCTCGATATGGCAATAAACCGTCGCTGGCATAGCGGTGGGGAAATCTGTGAGGTATGTGAATGATCTTTTGCGAACCTTGTTGAAAAGCGTGGTTATCCAAATATGCTACATTTCTTAGAGCAAGAAATATGTGAGGAATTGTGCTTTTCACGAACTGAGAGTTGAGCGTGACAAAAAGGTTGGTTCCTCTTTTAAATTGTACGCTTTGGTTCAAGGCTTTGGGCGTACAGTTTCAGTCGTAGAATCGTTCTCTCGAAATCGAGTAGCTAACAATTTGGGCTTTACAAGCATGGTTGTTTGCTAAAAATTGTTTACTTCGAGTCATTCTTGAGATGGAGAAGCTTTGTTGCATAAAAAGTGATAGTTGACGTGCTGACATAGTCATGGGGTATAACCCGATCTACGACTTGCGCATGTCTGCACCATTTTTTCTCTTTTTGATCCATAAGCTATCTAATGCGCAAAATGGGCTATGAAAAAAATGAAGAAACCTATTTCTGTTTCGCTGAGAGCTTTATTTCCAGTAAGTTCCGAACATGAAGGAAGATTTTGTTTTTTGCAAAACGCAACTTATCATATTGGAAATGAACTCGTCATATTCCAGATGCACGTCGTCGTGCCTAATGTGCTTCCCTTCACTAAGACACCGAAAGAAGCTCGAGGAAAGATTGCTACATAAACTGCATTCATTAAACGAAAGAACGTGGTGCTGCGATAAAAAGAGAAATATAGATTGTTCGCAGTCGACACTTTACTGTTATATCTGTTGACAAACAGCAAAGAGAAGCCGGAACCATGGCGCAGTCCATTTCGAGACAGGAGAAATGACCTTCATCGGGCCTCGAACCTCGGGGGACGCGCGATACACGCGTGACCCCATATGGGCTCTCGCGCACGCAGCATCGCTTCAGTACCCTTTCGTTGAGAAGGACCAAATAAGATTTGCAGTAGTTCATGGTTTCACCATGAGATTCTACAAATCTCTTTACTTAAGCAATGAAACCCCATCGAGATTGAGAATTCACGTCAAAGGCCTTCAAAATAAGAATAACTTTAAATTATTTGATCCTAGAAAACGCAATCCTTCTGTAAACGTGCATAGTCGGTTATTTTTTTACTTATATTACTGATAAGTTCTCATTTCTTCCATTATGNGACGACCTCATTATATTGACGCGTGAATCGCATCACACCCTCGAACCTCAATGGACAAAAGTCGAATCTTTTGACAAGAAACGGGCCAAGTTCCCATCACCCTGTATTGTGCATGCTTTGCTGGCTCAGATCAGGATGCGTATTTAGAGAAATGTAAGGCTACGAAAAGTAGTATACTTAAGGGTTGGACGAGAACGTGACGACAACAGCTGCATGCAAGGGATATTTGGACGAGCTTTTTAAATATCTGCGCCACCGCGTACAGCTGACTACAGTGAGCTGCTTGCATGCCATGTTTCAAACCCGTGCAGATGGTACAACCTCTGCGATACCCGTCCGCCTTTGTGTGGATACGAAGGCTATGCGGTTCCGGGGCCCGTATATACCTAGGCCGTTTTTCGATCCGACAGCGTCCATAGTGCGATCCTTGGGGGTCACAGGTCCATCCAACGGTGAAATCTGAGAAACCATTCGCAGTGTGAACTGTACCTTTAATCGGTGACTGCACCACACACAACCACAACAACCACACACAGCAGCAACTCACATTTTGTCTACCTACTTTACTCTCATATCTTAAACTAGAAGCATACTGAAGACACAAGGCTTCTTCGTAAATAGCAAAGGCGCTGACTGTCTCCTGTTCTCTGAGTTCTCTTATCACATCTTATCAATTGTCATCGGTTCTCAAGGACTAGGTGTTTATCCTTCCACCAGTCGGGTCGCCCGGCTTACGCCGGGCCTCATTGCCTATTTTTACAAAGTAATTTTAAAAGTAAGATAGAGCTGGGTTTTCCATATCACTATCTTATCTTAATCATAATGTTTTGGGACGGACAGACAGATACACCAAGTTACTGCTTTACAAATAAGAGAGGCATATAACACGCTAATGTGTGCGGTTGTGTGTGTGTGTTTACGTGTGTGTGTATGTCTGTATGTATGTGTGTATGTATGTATGTATGTATGTATGTATGTATGTATGTATGTATGTA